AGCTCATAAAATTCATACAAATTACCCGGTCAGAATATAATTTACATTGCTGGAATTCTTATAATTTGGTGATCATTTTGAATATAAACAACATATATTTTGCATTAAACACAATTTTTAGATAAAAATTTTTCTCTAGGTAACTATGTTATCTTTTGTGCAAAATATATGACATTTATATTCAAAATATTCCTGGTCTTACAAGGAATCCAGCAATGTCAATTGTATTATCCTAACTTTAGTTTGAGGTATTATTTATTAAAATTTAGTGGTTTTCCCCCAAGCAGTGTAGTGTGAGAGGGAGTCGAGTCCATTATTTGAATGGACATTAACTTGGCGACTGTATTTCTCTATTTCTCTTAAGTATTAATTGTGTGCATGTACCATCATAAAATTAAGATGTTATTTTTACTACAACATAGGTATGTGCCTTCAAAAAGTGGAGTTTGGGGTCGGGCCGGTTTCTATTGGAATTAATCCCATATGTTCTGTTGTTCACTTAACGCGGATTTCACTTAACGCGGGACCCTCTGGGTTCAATTGACCGCGTTAAGTGGGGTACAACTGTATATATATATATATATATATATATATATATATATATATATATATATATATATATATATATATATATATATATATATATATATATATTTTATATATATATATATATATATATATATATATATGTTTATATATATATATATATATATATATATATATATATATTTATATATATATATATATATATAATAATAATAATAATAATAATAATTAACGGTTTATTGAAAAAGTTCTGCAGCCCGAAGGCTGAAAATATACATTGGACATAAATGACTTATTACATACATTGGTGGTTTAACAAAAGCCTTCATTAGAGAAAGGTAAAGGAACATACAGTGAACATTCAGATTAATGTAGGTGTTGAACAGCAAACACGTAGTGTAGTAACTCTCTCCCAGATGGTGTTAGGAGGGACCTGATGTGGTGTAGTAATTCCCTCACAGATGGTGTTATGAGGGACCTGACGTGGTGTAGTAATTCCCTCACAGATGGTGCTATGAGGGGCCTGACGTGGTGTAGTAATTCCCTCACAGATGGTGTTATAAGGGACCTGACGTGGTGTAGTAATTCCCTCACAGATGGTGTTATTAGGGGCATTACGTGGTGTAGTAATTCCCTCACAGATGGTGTTATGAGGGACCTGACGTGGTGTAGTAATTCCCTCACAGATGGTGTTATGAGGGACTTGACGTGGTGTAGTAACTCCCTCACAGATGGTGTTATGAGGGGCATCACGTGGTGTAGTAATTCCCTCACAGATGGTGTTATGAGGGACTTGACGTGGTGTAGTAATTCCCTCACAGATGGTGTTATATGAGTGAGGTGTGGCCCCAGGCCTTCCTATCGTAGACGGATTAACACATCGCCGGTTGTTGGGTCTCACGGGCCGTTATCACTGGGTACCTGGGACCTCACTGTGTGAAGGTTAACTTGAATACGACTTTTACTGTTGAGTTGTTCTCACTGACTCAAGCACTGTTCACCAATGTTCACCTCTGTTTAACACTGGTTCCATTCCTTTCCCAAATGAAATTGTAACTTCTGGCGAGAACCTGTTGATACTCCGGTGGGGAGAAGTGGTTCAGGGGAGGGGGTTGGTATGGGCCAACTTAACAGTTGACCTGGCTGCTCCGAGAGGAGCGCCAGGTACGTCTTGACCCTTCGGTGGTCAAGGATATATATATATATATATATATATATATATATATATATATATATATATATATATATATATATATATATATATATATATATATATATATATATATTATTTTTTTCAAGTGAATGGAAAAATTTTACTCGACACAGACATTAGTTCCAGTTACCGGTAAATAGCAGACGCTTCAGTGACGTCACTAGTGTTTACACTACACCAGCGGGTAACATTTGATGACATTACTTGAAGTGAATTGGCCTTATTTTAAAAAACCAAGGATGGTTGGTAAAGGACTACTGAGTCAGTGGGTAAGTGTCACATTTGGGGTACTGGTCTTATACAGCGAATAGAGCTCAAAAGCTACTTTTTAAATGGAAATTTGGGAGGGGCCGTCTTATGCACCCCGACACCTTATAGGCCGAGATATACGGTATGACAACCTCTGCTGTTACATAGAACGCTGGCTCAGTTGAATAACAATTTCTATTTCTGCACTCTTCTGCACTTCCTCTTATAAAACATTGTGGTTGAAGTGGTGTACATGGTAAGGGAATAGTGAAATATAGTTGTGGCAGGTAGGTTACAGTTAGTTGTTTCAAGTGAATGAGAATTATTTATGAAGGGAAAAGCACAGATTTGTTGATATAGTCATCCAATTGTGGGGAAGGAAGACACATTTTTTATGAAAACTGTGTTGAAAAGAGACAGTACAGTTATTGGAGATGGGGAAATATTTTTAAACCCTTAAGCCCCACATTAGGGTGCTGCTGGCAGTAGGCAGTAACCCCCCCCGGTGTCGAAGAAAAAAAAAAAAAAAAAGGCAATGTTCTGAAATGTCACCCGGGGCCTAAAGTTTAATAAGGGTGGGAAGTGAGAAGTGTATTATGGATGGTGGGAAGATAACTCACTTATGATGGATGAGGGCAAAAAGCATATTACCTAACCAGTGGAGGTCACATTTTCTCAGTAATACAAAAAGCGGAGGAAATATCCAAACAAAGTAAACTCATTATATTTTACTTCAAATAAAAAAACTCAAAATACGTCCATATCTATAATGTATGAGTGAAGCCATATATGCTATGATTATTATTAATATTTGTGCAACACATCAAGTTATGGATTAATAACAATCATTATCAAAATAGCAATTGAACCTATATAGGATTGGTGTACTTGACAACAATGCACACGGTAACTGGAAAAGTCGAGCCATCTAACTTTACACCTTGGAAATGGCTTATTGAACAGATACAAAAATTTTACCGACATTTCCATTAGAGTACAGTACTGTACTTACAAAATTATATTTGATACAAACACACACATACACAGCATCTCATCCAGAACAGAAATACATATCGTCCTGAAGTTGTATTTATCTGCCTTCCACATTAAGAGCTGTGCTTCATAAACAGCTTATTATGACTTAGGAAAAAATAAAGTATTACTATTATTCAACTCCTGTTTACCACAACAATTGTTATAACATTTACTGAATTTGGTTTTGTCTAAGGCATGCACATATATAACATATGAGCTAAAAATCAGGTTGCTAATTGAATTACAATCTTCACTTTTCATTTTGGCATTTGATATTTCTAGAAGTACATTACAAAACAAAACTGCAGACACACACTCATGAAGGCACATGTAGATGCCTTATTAAGAATGAAAGAATGTGTACTATACTAGGAGAAAGAAAGTTAATAGTAAATGTGAACAAAAGGAAATTACTAAACCAACATAAAAGTGTGAAACATTAACTGAGGATATTGAATAAAAAAGAAAACTACAAGTAACAGAAATGGTGCACTCGAGAGTAAGTGGAATGAATACAATGACAAGAATAAGAAATACAGAAATTTGAAGATAAAAATGCATGTAATATCTGACAGAACTGACCAGGGTTTGCTACGATAACATTAATAATACAATAAAATACCAATTTTATACAATATGTTGGGACCAAGCACATTCTCTTAAGCCAATTTTTCCGAAGAATCAGTACAAATAAAAACATGACCATTTTGCTTTTATTTTGTTTAATTATCTTTTCTCATATAATATCGGTGTAAATTCTGCAGAAACAATATACATGCCTTCTATAACATTTGAACACTAATTACACTGCTATAGAAAATATTTTGGTTAAATTTCTCCTTACCCGGGAACAATGATAATATGTGTGCATTAAACAGATCATTGTTTGAAAACAATTGAAATAGTAATGATACCAATACACATTAAATATTTCTAACTCTAAAATGTAAACAAAGTGTGCACGTGAAAGTGTTACACAACCTATTATTATAAAATGGCACTACAGTCTATGAATAACAACAGTCAAAACCCCCAAATTTTTCCAATAAAGCAAGTATCACTGGTCATCAAAGACATTTCCCCTTTCTGGATATTTATAAAAGCACATCATCACTGCTCCACTGCTTATGTAATGGTTCTAATTTCTTGTTTACTATCAGAGTAACTCATATGTTTTGCACTACATGATGCTGGGCAATCCATTGATCATATTTTGGAACATACTGAAAATATTACGGCATGAAACACAGTAATCAAGACAAGCTGGCTGGTGTCAACATGTTATCTGAGTGTTGACCAGAAGGAGGGGGGAAGGTGGCAAGAAAGGAACAAACATAACCCATATTTCCAAAAGCACCCAGCATAGGTAAAGGACCACACCCATTCCCAAGAATCAGTATTTCTATTAATTGCATATACAGGTACAGGTTGACAACCCTTTATCCGAAAAAAAAAAAAAAAAATAATATATATATATATATATATATATATATATATATATATATATATATATATATATATATATATATATATATATATATATATATATATATATATATATATATATATATATATATATATATATATATATATATATATATATATATATATATATATATATATATATATATATATATAACAGGGATTAACATAGATCACTGACCCACATCAGGACCTGGGGGCAAAATGTAATAAACAATAATACAGTAATAATAAAATTAATAATAATAATAATAATAATAATAACACTAATACTGTAATAATAAAATAATAATAATAATAAAGAAATACAAGAATAAAAAAAAGATCAAAAGTGAGAAACATGACCTAGATCTATGAATTATTATTATTTTTTTTATTATATTTTCGCCCCCCAGGCCCCAATGTGGGCCAGTAACTTATGCCCTGGTGGGCTAATACATGTGTGTGTAAAAAAAAAAAAAAAAACTAACCATTCTGAAAACCGAAAAATTCCGAAATGCCTCTGGCCCCAAGGATTTGTCAACCTGTACTGTATATCTCAAAGCACCATTTCCTATAACAACTACAACAGTAAGTTATTTTGAAAAACAAAATTTATTTACTGCATGATCAATAGGATTATATACCTTCAAAAAATTAAAGCTTTTAGTTGCTTTTCAAGTATGCATTTACTTCTAGCTGCTTCAGATGAGGCAATAGTACAATTGAAACATTGCGTTGGTAAAGATTAGGCCACAGAATATCTTACACATATAGCTCTATATCTGACAAGATAATGGGGATTATAGTTACTGTGCTGACTATATTCAACCTAGTAAACAGTAATAAATGCCTGACCAAATAGTTTTGCTCATGAGACTTTTCTAGCTTTAACAGGGGACCAAGTTACAGCAATTCAGTTTGAAATGGAGATGTGGGAATTCTTGATGGATATGAATAAATGATTCTAGTTACTCTGCAAGAGACTGATAAGAGTACCTATAATAGCCAATTTGTCAAGTCTTTTCACAAAAACTACAGTAATCAACAATGCAAATATCCAATAAAAGTACAAAAATCACAAGATTTTGTCTGATAAAAATCTCTTAACAGTTGTAACTGAAATTTAATACCAACAAATTCATAAGTTTTCTGAAACTCAAAATTTAGTTCAAATACACACCCAAATTTCTGACAAATTCAAGGAAAGGAACAATACATTTAATAAAAAAATCCATGGTGAACCAATATTGACAGATATACTGCTCCCAAGTTTTCTTGTGAAATGGAAATTTGGATATAGTGGAAAATGAGATTGATTAAGTGTACGGTAGCATAGTTAAGGGATAGAGGGAAGGGAAGACTTACAATATAATGAAAAGATGGGGTAGAGGATGCAGATGAGAGAAGAATGAACATATAGTAAGCAGGAGAGCATAGCATTTACTAGTATAGTATAAAGGAATGTAACAGTATTAAAAGAAATTGGATAAGAGTAAATAATAAGGAGTTTGTCTGTACTCTTCATTCCAGCCACTCTCCAATACAGCAGGAATCTTACTTCCGGAAGTGGTAGCGGGTCTTTGGAGTGTCCCTGAGAAGATATAAATATTTTATTTTAAAAATCACCTTTTTTCAATGGTGAAAATATCCACTACAAAAAGTGGTGCATGAGTTGTAATGAAATCACATTTTCAAGTACTGTACCTGTACGAAGATTGAGTGATTATGAAATCTGTTAGTGCACAACTGCTGAAGAAAGCCATGAACATAATCATAACAATAATTCTACAGACCCTAAGGTTTAATTTAAAAACATTACAAGATTTATTTGTTCCACACTCTTCGAACAAGCATAATACAAATACTGTACTGTACAGCACTAGTAGTATACATTGTAATACAGGTCTAATCATTGAACAGAACAGTCTAAGATAGCAAAAATTCCAGTACAGAAGCACTTACCCCCCCCCCATCCCCAATATAAAAATTTCACCCTGAAGGTTATCTTAGGGTGATTAACCCACTACATGTAATTACAACTAAGATGGTAATATTTAAGGACAGCTGCCCTAGTTATACAGCCGCCTAACAAAAAATATCTAGAAGAATTATGTCTTTCCCCAAAAATAAAGTATAACAGGTGAAGTAACACCACTTTCCTATACAGGTGCTAGCACCACCACCCACTTTGTTTACATGAATATCAGGATGCAAAGTGGTACTGTGGTAGTCCAAATGCTTCATAGACAATTATAATGCTACATTAGACTAAAACCACTTGACACACTGGGCATGGATGTACTAATGTCTGATTAAGACTGCTGCGATAGCTCACTCGACTAAAAATCTTAGGTGAGGGCTGAGTGTAAACTTAAGTTCATGTGCTGAAACGGAATTTATGATTGTCATCGTCAAGACAGTCTTGACAAAGACTTAAGGTATTCTGCTGCATCAGCTGACATCAGTCAACCAATCAGTGGAAGTTACAAATATTTTATGGTCCTGTAATGATTGTTTATCAGACCACAGCTTACAGCCCAAAAAAATACAACACATATAACAGTAAGTAGATGAGCAGGGGTACACCTATAAGTTGATATACCCTACAGTGACCCAGGAGACCTGACCCCAGCCACAGAGTACTTGAGTTAACCGGGTGATATGACCTACAACCTCACCTTGCGAAGACACACCCAGCTTAGTGTTAATTGGAAGAGGTCATCTGCCAGCTCTCCTACAATATAAAGGCCCTGAAGCCTCTTCCACAGGTCATTCATTCATATTCAGACGACTTTCACAACACTATCGACGGAAGACGGAGTTACGCTCGTCACGAGTCGAGGTGAGGAGGGAGACTTCCCTCCCCAACACCGCGTCTCCAGCTAGCAAGGTCTCCCATAGGAGACATAGTCCAGCAGCACCAGCTGGGCCTCCCTCAGGTCACGTGAGTCTTTGTCAGAGCTATCCATAGGGCGAGTTACTTACGGTGGGAAGTGTATCCATTTTATGTTTGTGTCCAAGAGTCGGTGTCTAGTAACGTAAATATAATGTTCTATTAATGTGCCTGTGTCATTGAATAATTAATAAATAGTTGATTTGAAGTGGTGTTTAGAAAGATGTCCCCTAAGAACGCATATACAGTTAAATAAATAACTGGCCATGCTACCAAACTTCCTCATTTTACATTCCTACAACTAAATATTCTATCTATACTTCCTACCTCTAAATCCCCCCATTACAGTCCCTTCAGCCAATCACAGAATGGATACTACAATGCACTTGAAATGTGCAAGGGAGACCACATTCACCACAACACTACGGACGCACAGTATTAGATACAAATCAACAAAATCACAAGAACAGTAACCAACTGAGGTTTATTTCTCCCTTTATTTTCTATTTATAGTATTTATTTACTTGCTCTGCTTTATTCTATAATTCTATTATTTCCTTTTCTACTTACAAGCAATCATATTCTGTTCTTTCTATATATTAGATGAAGGAGGCTAGGAATGTAAGAGTAGGTAAGGGGGGAGGAGGAGGAGGAGTGTAGTGTGTGTGCACGTGCGGGGGAGTAACCGTAGCAACCCTTGCAACTTGTGTGATAAAGTATGTGTGTGTGTGTGTGTGTGTGTGTGTGTGTGTGTATATATATATATATATATATATATATATATATATATATATATATATATATATATATATATATATATATATATATATATATATATATATATATATATATATATATATACATATATATATATATTGATAAAATCACACGGGAAAAGGGAAACAACGGAGCACCTTCGCTTTCGTCTTTAGTCAAGACATCTTCAGAGGCAACTGGATTACATGGACAGAGAGAGGCTTAAATATACAGGGTGACCTTCTAAAACACGAGGTCAGGTCATAATGATGTCATCCACTAATCCCTATACCAACACACACGTAGAGGAGCTTAAGAGAAGGGGGGTGACGTGACTAGTCAGGTCAGGTAAAAAATAAGGGACCCACAAAATAACTTTCATACATCTAGATCAAAGGTTTTCAAAGCATTTTTAACCTTGGGCCACTGTGATTTTATCAAGATTTATCTTGTCCACATTTTCATTGTGGATCTACATGAAATATATATACAGTGATCCCTCGGTTAACGAACGCCTCGGTTAACGAAATTTCGGTTAACAAACTGCCTTCCATAAGGATTTTCAATTCGGTTAACGAACAAAAATTCGGTTAACGAAATTCTTACGAACCGACCTCAACATGTTTTCGCTTGCACTGACCGGGTAACCAGCTTTAGTATCAGTCCGCCAATACATTAATCGGTTCTAGGGCTTAAATTCCTTACTATTGTAGTAAATATCAAGAAGTTTATACTATTCAATAATTTTAAAAGTTTAATATTCAATTTTTTAGTCATTTTAACAATTATTGAACATAATTAAAGGTAAATAAACTAGTTTCTGGCATGCCATCCAGCCTGTTAACACACCAGACAGGCGTTAGTCTCTCTGTTTTCAGTGGAGGTAACATCTTGCTTGAGACTCTCTTCAACTAAATGCTTTTTTTCTGTTTTTCCAAGCAAATTATTGGTCATTTTGAAATTTATTTTACATATTGACAATATATAGCACAGTGCAGTGTTATTTTAAAGAAAATATTCTTTATTTACAGCTAGTTTAACTTTGAAATACACGTGTTGACAGTGTTTGAATCCAGCATGGGGCCTAAGAGATCAAGGAAATCTATTTCAATCCAAACCAAGCAGGAAATCATAAAAAAACATGAACAAGGCATTAAATCAAATATGCTTAGCAAAGAATATGGCATGTCGGCATCAACTGTGTCGACAATTCTTGCACAGAAAGACAAATTTAAAGAAGTGAAAGTGAGAGACAAATCTACAAGAGTGTTTAAAAGCAGATCCCTAATCGCAGAAACTGAGAGGTTACTTATCATCTGGATTAGGGAAAAACAGATGAAAGGTGATTCAGTTTCTGGTGAATTCATTTATGAAAGAGCCAGGGAGATTCATGAACATTTAAAGGCAGATCAACCTGGTTCATCAGGCACAGAATTTGAAGATTTTCGGGCCAGCAAAGGCTGGTTCGAAAAATTTAAGAAAAGAAGTGACATTTTAAGTGTTGTTAGGCATGGTGAAGCTGCTTGTACTGATAAAGAAGGGGCAGCAAAGTTTTTAGTTCAATTTAAAAAACTGATGGAAGAAGAAAATTATCTTCCACAGCAAGTGTTCAATGTGGACAAAACTGGGCTGTTCTGGAAAAAGATGCCCAAAAGAACATTCATCACCAAAGATGAAGCCTCTTTACCTGGGCATAAATCCATGAAAGACCGTCTCACTCTATTGCTTGGTGCCAATGCTTCAGGGGATTTCCGACTGAAGCCTATGCTTGTCTACCACTCTGAAAACTCCAGGGTGTTCAAGCAACAGAAAGTGGTAAGAACAAAGCTTGGAGTTTATTGGAAGTCCAACCGTAAGGCATGGGTGACAAGACAGCTCTTTAATGAATGGGCTGTTGATGTGTTTTGCCCTTCTGTCAAGAGCTACCTAACCACCAATATACTCCCTTTAAAGGTTCTTCTCCTCATGGATAATGCTCCTGGTCATGACCCTGACCTTGCCAGCAATTTGGAGTATCAATTTGACTTTGTGAAAGTGTTGTTTTTCCCTCCAAACACTACATCAATAATACAGCCAATGGACCACAATGTAATCAGCAACTTCAAGAAGTTGTACATGAAGAAAATGTTTAGGTGTCATCAGGCAACTTCCAATGATCCTGAACTAACACTGAAACAGTTCTGGAAGACACAATTGAACATCCTGGAGGCTGTAAAATTGATTGTGTCATCATGGCAAGAAGTCTCCAGTAGATCCCTCAATTCTTCATGGAAAGCACTGTGGCCATCAGTAGTCCATGATTTTGAGGGATTTGAGGAAGAAACAGAGTTGGACAAGGAGATTGTGTCCATTGGTCAGTCATTGGGCCTTGAAGTGGAGGAGGAGGATGTGGAAGAGCTTGTGATGTCTCATGAGGAGGAACTTACTCCTGATGACTTGAAGCAACTGGATGAGATGTTACAGGTAGAGGCTGACAGTGGTGAGGAGGAAATTGAAAGTGATGACCATATGTCAGCTAAACAGTTGAAAGATGTGATTTACTACTGGGAGAAGTTCAGGGAACTGGCTTCAAAGTACCCAGAAGTGGAAAAAACTGAACTAACTTTGTGTCATGTTGAGGACTCAGTGGTCTCCTTCTTTAAACATAAGTTAATGGTGAGGAGGACAGATGCCCCACAGACCACAATTGACACTTTCTTCAGTAAAAGGCAGAGGGAACAAGATGCTATCCCTCAGCCTTCCACTTCAAGAAGGAGAGAGGATGTTCATGGTGGAGAATCTGTCAGTCCAGAGGTTCCTGACATTTTCATGGAAGGTGACTCACCTTCCAAGAAGCAGTAAAATGCTTCTCCTCCACCTCCACTTCCTTCTCTTCTCCTTCTCCTCCTCCACCTCCCACTTCAAATGCATCATCATCATCATCCAGGAACCAATTACCCAAA